ATTTATATTTAATTGTCAATTACTAGAAAATAACTTTCACAATATTTACCATTGATTTCCTTCATACTCTGAGCTTTGCAATTCTTCGCCAGTTTGATGACTTGCATTCGCATTAAATTCTATCAATCGTTATATCCTTTATCTGCTATAATTCCTTCACTTATTCTGTTCAATTTCTGCATTAGTTAAACAATAGTTTGTGTCATGACGTGCGTCTGTGTCAAAAATGTCATAATTTGATGTTCTATCGGTTTGTAACGTATTCGAAGTATTCACCGTCAATATAGTTGGTCATCTTACACTGTCCAATAATAAAGCCTATAATAAAGGTAACAAAAAGATGTAAAAATTTATTAGGTGCAGTAAAATTAGTATTTATAAAAGAAATATAAATTGCTTTTTTCGGATTACGCTAAACTTGAAATATGTAAGAAATATGTATATATTCTTACTAATATACTAATAAAGACATTCGATGCAATTATAAAGAATTTGCGAAAAAGTCAAATTTGAAATAATTTATATGTACATATTTATATATTTGTTTGTCAATTACTGAAAAATAACTTTTGCAATATTTACCATTGATTTTTTTCATACTCTGTGGTTTGCGATTCTGTGCAAATTTGATTAAAACCTGTACTTGCATTAATATGTTCATTTACCGATTGTCCATTTATTTCTGTATTTTCGATAATTCTTTCAATTTCTGTATTTATCTTATGAAGAGCATCTTCAAAAATCATGTCATTATTTGATATACTATCAGTTTGTGAGGTAGGTTTCAAAATATTCATCGTCAATAGTTGTTCATCTTGCACTGTTCCAGAATAAAACCTATAATAGGTTACAAAAAGATGTAGAAATTTGCTAGGTGTAGTAAAATAATTAGTATTTACAAAAGGAATATAGATTTTTTTGCGGATTTTGCTTGATGTACAGGGTGGCGCAAAAGTCACTGGACACTGGGCACTGATGTAAACAAAAGATTTATGTGTCATGACAAATGCATTAAAACTTCCTACTGTACTACGTCTTGCTGTTACTTTTGTTTTCTTTTAACCAACTGTCCAGTGACTTTTGAGCCATCCTGTATGTAAAATATGCAATTATAAAGAATTCGAGAGAAAGTCAAATTTGAAATAATTTCTATATTTAATCTTTTCGAAGCTCAACAATGGTAAATAAATATGTAAACCGCTCGATTACTATACCGCGAACAATTGTTTTTGGTTTTTAATATTACTTTATATAATTTAACAGATATTTATATAACATATTTTAAATAAATAAGTTTTTATTTTTGTTCCTTACATATATTACTTACTGAACATGAGAAAGAACCAAAAGAAATAAGAAAAAAGTAATAATAATTAGAAAACAAATGTAATTAGTATTTACTATTTCTATGCATTTAAATATGGAAATCTTAATTAGCATTCTTCGATTTGATTAAATTAAATTAAATTATATTGATTAAATATAAATTCTTTGTTTCAATATTTATAAAATTTATGTAACATTTCTGTTAAATCATTGACTAAGATTTATATAAATGTAATCAAATGAAATGTATTACACTTTTATATAGTATTTTATATCTAAATCCAGATTATAGATTATAAATCACACATATAGGAAATTTAATTTATATTAATCAATAATTAATATTAATCGTAACATTTACCGTTGTTGTTCTCCTTCATTTTCTGTAATCTGTGAATATGATTCAGCCCCATGAGAATTTGTACTCACGGCATTTTTGTTATTCGCTGATTGTTGTACCATTAAATATGCATTATTTCCTTCGTTTCCTTCGTCAGATCTCGAATTCTCATTTATGCCATGATAAATTTTTAAGTGATTTTCTAAGCCCCTTGTTCCGGCAAATATTGTCAATTTGTGATCGCAATACATGCATTTTGCTTTATCATCACACTCGTTGAATGCGAAATATTGTTTTAACCAGGTACGTTTAATCATTTCTTGTATCTCTATTATTTTCTCTTTATGCTTTCGTAACAAATGAAGCCGTAATGTTTGTATATATCGTGCATTTTTTAAAAGTTTACAACAAATTTTGCATCTTGCGGCATATCCTTTTTCTTTAATATAATATTGCCATATTAAGGAAGTACTTGTGTACCTTTTCCAATCGTCGTCATTTATTATTTTATGAACATCATATAAATGAGTTTTTAAATGTGGTGTTATACTTGGAGCTTTAAAAATTTTATCACAATAATTGCATTTTATTATACTTCTGCTTAATTGTGTGATATGTTTCCATGCCCACAAAAATTTCTGCGATGATATGTTTTGCATGTTATTCTGTATTTTTATATCGTCAGCTCTTGAACTTTCATTTATATCGTGAAATATTTCCAAGTGGTTCGCTAAGCTATCTATTCCTTTAAATATATCCAATTTAAGATTGCAATGTATGCACCTTATTTTATGACTTTCTTGACGTTTTATGACGTCAAATGCGAAATGTTGTGATAACCAAATGTCTGTAATTGTTTTTTGTATTTTCGTCATTTCTTCTTGATGTTGTGTAATTATATGACTTTTCAAATTCCAATTCTGAGTCGCTTTTATCAATCTATTACAAATTATGCATTTTGCATTACAATTCTCGTCTAGTGTGTAATATTGCCACATATACATATTTTGTCGATTTTTCAAGTGTTCCATGATGTAAAATGTTATGCCATGCTGAAATAAATGCTTTTTCAAACTTATACTCATTCTACCCTGTTTATAAGTTTTATTACAATATTTGCACTGTATCTCTTTATTGCTTATTTTCTTATAATATGTCCATATTTCAGAATATATTTTCATTATGTACGTATACCACTTGTAAAAATGTAATAATCCTTATAAAGTAATGTAAGTTTTATTCAAATATCCAAAAGACTGCTTGCAAGAGACTAAGTAAAGCGTATAAATTTTTGCGAAGATATAAATATTGTATATGTATGTTTGTTGTGTTAAAATCAAATAGGTTATCAGCTTATTATTTGTAATTGTTCTTATAATGGTTTGTAAACATCATCAAAATATTGTATTAATTTTGAATTTATGTATGTTAACGATTTGATACATCTATCATTTGCTTTATTAAGTTAATTTACAATTTATATTGTACTATTTCATTTTAAATATGATAATTAATTTTAATAATGATTTTCTTGCGAAATGAAATAAACATTTATATAAATTTGATTAATTGTTATTCTTTTGCCTGTTTCTAAATAATTAATAATATTTCTGACCATCGTAAACAATTTATTGTTTATTAGCATATTCAATTTATAAAACAATGCAAGTATATAATTTAAGTTAGACTTATATGCATGAGAGTGTAAATCTGCAAAAGAGATGTTTTTTTCACTGACAGATTTTGTGAAATATAAACCCTGACGAACATGTCAAAGCTATAATAATTTTTAATATTTTTTTAAATTATTTAAGGTTTATAAATTTGTCTGTGAAAATAACAATATTATGCGTGGATTCAGAGCAAATTAAACCGAATAGAAAAATCATTTTACGAATTTCAAAACAATTAAGGTAATATTGTGTATATCACAAGGTGATCGTAGCTTTTCTGTTCGATATAATTCGCCAATTAATGAGATTGACATTAAATAAAATATTTAGCTTAATAAAAATATTTTAGAAATATATTTATTTTAATAGAAATATATTTTATAATAAATATATTTTTATTTCAATGATTACAACAAATGTTATAGTCAATCAAATATTAGAACTAATATTTACAATAATTTTATATAGTATATTTTAGTTAATAAATATTTCTATGATCCTACTCATTTCCTGTGGCCTTTGAATCCATATCTAACAAGGTCTTAAATTTGCATTTTGTTTCTGTTACGAACTCTTGCCTAGTATCTCTTACAGTTTTTTTATCAGTATCTTATATACTTTCAATTAATTATAATCCATAATGTTAAAATTTCTAGAACAAGACTCTCTGTATTTAACGTTCCGTTAGATTGCAACGTTTGTTTGTCTCGAAGTATTTTTTATCATTGTTAGCTGTTTCTTAATTATTATCCAGTAAAAGTTATATAATTATATATAAATTGATAAAAATTAGAGTATAGAATAATTAACAATACATATAAAAAAACATTTCAGTTATGCGAGTAATACAACGTGCGTAATCACTTAAAATTTTTATCTTTTTCTACGTATTTATATATTAACTAAACAATTGCAAATTATTAGTTTGAATTAGTAATTTTATAAAGAAAATTGAAAACCCATGTAGAATCGCACAAATACAGATCTCGTCTTGCATTGCAACTATATAGTGAAACAGAAGATATAATTCATAAACTCGTTGCAGATTGCAAATAGTAAAGAAAGTAATTTCTAAAACTAATCAAAATTGTTTGTTTAATTATATATTTCATCATATAAAAGTAGTCAAAGTCAAAGTTTTTTTCTATTATTATTGCTACTTCACTTAGTTAATAATTTAATGATATCTTATCATCTTATCATCTATTACAGTCAAAACATCTATATCTACATTTATTAATAAAATCATTATAAAAGCGATAATTAGTGCGAATATCTTGAAATGATAACAGAATATCCTGAATATCCTGAAATGATTTTTCTGTCTAGTCTAATTCGTTCTATTAGCGAGTCCTCTGATACAGTTATTATGGATATTTAGTATATAATATTGATTAAATGAGATTGATTTTAAATAAAAAATTCTGCAATATAATACAAATAAGTTCATTTTATTAAAAATTGTTTCAACATTAATACAGTCAATCAATTATGGGAATTATTTATAAAGGCTTTGAATTGTTTTGCACAAATCTTGTCACAATTTATATATCATTAAGTCTACGTAATATAGCCTTCTCATTAGTTTTACTTCTCATTAGACTAATAAAAAATTTATATCTTTCATCATTTGTTGACTGTTGTAGAGATATATCCAAAGTACTTCCACCAATTTCATCAGAGTTTAATACTCATTATTATTATGATATGAAGGCGTTCGGAACTAAACTTGGATAATTATTGTTAAATGCCTTATTAACTTGCAAAGTCTGTTCTGAAGTTGTCATTTCCATTTGTACGTCTTGAATTGTTTCATTAAGCAATCTACGTTTGCATGTAAAGTGTAGAAGTAATACAAAGTATATAAATTGGAATCTGCGCCAAAAGAATAAGTAAAAAATATGATTTTTTTAAAATTTATACGTTATATCAAAATTAAAGATATTATTATCCAAATATTGAAAAATGTTCGAGTTCATATTGACAATGTACGGAAATGTTTGATCAATCAAATATCAAAATTCCTATATACTATTACTATAATTTAATATTAAATACGTAAAAACAATTTTCAATTAACAAGATTTGATATTGACTTAATTAATCGAAAGAAATTCAATTATAACGTTTATAACACTCATATTTTTATAAAGCATCCATATTAAATATTCAATTATAGTTTTTACATAAAAATTATAGCGAACAAATGTCAACAATTAAGCATCATATTTCTTATATTTATATTTAATTGACAATTACTGGAAAATAACTTTCACAATATTTACCATTGATTTCCTTCATACTCTGAGCTTTGCAATTCTTCGCCAGTTTGATGACTTGCATTTGCATTAAATTCTATCAATCGTTATATCCTTTATCTGCTATAATTCCTTCACTTATTCTGTTCAATTTCTGCATTAGTTAAACAATAGTTTGTGTCATGACGTGCGTCTGTGTCAAAAATGTCATAATTTGATGTTCTATCGGTTTGTAACGTATTCGAAGTATTCACCGTCAATATAGTTGGTCATCTTACACTGTCCAATAATAAAGCCTATAATAAAGGTAACAAAAAGATGTAAAAATTTATCAGGTGCAGTAAAATTAGTATTTATAAAAGAAATATAAATTGCTTTCTTCGGATTACGCTAAACTTGAAATATATAAGGATATATTCTTACTAATATACTAATAAAGACATTCGATGCAATTATAAAGAATTTGCGAAAAAGTCAAATTTGAAATAATTTATATGTACATATTTATATATTTGTTTGTCAATTACTGAAAAATAACTTTTGCAATATTTACCATTGATTTCTTTCATACTCTGTGGTTTGCGATTCTGTGCAAATTTGATTAAAACCTGTACTTGCATTAATATGTACATTTATCGATTGTCCATCTATTTCTGTATTTTCGATAATTCTTTCAATTTCTGTATTTATCTCATGAAGAGCATTTACAAAAATCATGTCATTATTTGATATACTATCAGTTTGTGAAGTAGGTTTCAAAATATTCATCGTCAATAGTTGTTCATCTTGCACTGTTCCAGAATAAAACCTATAATAGGTTACAAAAAGACGTAGAAATTTGCCAGGTGTAGTAAAATAATTAGTATTTACAAAAGGAATATAGATTATTTTTTTGCGGATTTTGCTTGATGTACAGGGTGGCGCAAAAGTCACTGGACACTGGGCACTGATGTAAACAAAAGATTTATGTGTCATGACAAATGCATTAAAACTTCCTACTGTACTACGTCCTGCTGTTACTTTTGTTTTCTTTTAACCAACTGTCCAGTGACTTTTGAGCCATCCTGTATGTAAAATATGCAATTATAAAGAATTTGAGAGAAAGTCAAATTTGAAATAATTTCTATATTTAATCTTTTCGAAACTCAACAATGGTAAATAAATATATAAACCGCTCGATTACTATACCGCGAACAATCGTTTTTGGTTTTTAATATTACTTTATATAATTTAACAGACATTTATATAACATATTTTAAATAAATAAGTTTTTTATTTTTTTCCTTACATATATTACTTACTGAACATGAGAAAGAACCAAAAGAAATAAGAAAGAAGTAATAATAATTAGAAAACGAATGTAATTAGTATTTACTATTTCTACGCATTTAAATATTAATTAAATATGGAAATCTTAATTAGCATTCTTCGATTTGATTAAATTAAATTAAATTATATTGATTAAATATAAATTCTTTGTTTCAATATTTATAAAATTTATGTAACATTTCTGTTAAATCATTGACTAAGATTTATATAAATGTAATCAAATGAAATGTATTACACTTTTATATAGTATTTTATATCTAAATCCAGATTATAGATTATAAATCACACATATAGAAAATTTAATTTATATTAATAAATAATTAATATTAATCGTAACATTTACCGTTGTTGTTCTCCTTCATTTTCTGTAATCTGTGAATATGATTCAGCCCCATGAGAATTTGTACTCACGGCATTTTTGTTATTCGCTGATTGTTGTACCATTAAATATGCATTATTTCCTTCGTTTCCTTCGTCAGATCTCGAATTCTCATTTATGCCATGATAAATTTTTAAGTGATTTTTCTAAGCCCCCTTGTTCCGGCAAATATTGTCAATTTGTGATCGCAATACATGCATTTTGCTTTATCATCACACTCGTTGAATGCGAAATATTGTTTTAACCAGGTACGTTTAATCATTTCTTGTATCTCTATTATTTTCTCTTTATGCATTCGTAATAAATGAAACTGTAATGTTTTTACATTATGTGCTTGCTTTAAAAGTTTACAACAAATTTTGCATCTTGCAGTATATCCTTTTCTTTAATATAATATTGCCATATTAAGGAAGTACTTGTGTACCTTTCCAATCGTCGTCGTTTATTATTTTATGAACATCATATAAATGAGTTTTTAAATTTCGTTTTATACTTGGAGCTTTAAAAATTTTATCACAATAATTGCATTTTATTATATTTCTGCTTAATTGTGTGAAATGTTTCCATGCCCACAAAAATTTCTGCGATGATATGTTTTGCATGTTATTCTGTATTTTTATATCGTCAGCTCTTGAACTTTCATTTATATTGTGAAATATTTCCAAGTGGTTCGCTAAGCTATCTATTCCTTTAAATATATCCAATTTAAGATTGCAATGTATGCACCTTATTTTATGACTTTCTTGACGTTTTATGACGTCAAATGCGAAATGTTGTGATAACCAAATGTCTGTAATTGTTTTTTGTATTTTCGTTATTTCTTCTTGATGTTGTGTAATTATATGACTTTGCAAATTCCAATTCTGAGACACTTTTATCAATCTATTACAAATTATGCATTTCGCATTACAATTCTCGTCTAGTGTGTAATATTGCCATATGTACTTTGCATCATTTTGTGCATTGTTCAAGTGTTCCATGATGTAAAATGTTATGCCATGCTTAAATAAATGCTTTTTCATACTTATACTCATTTTACCCTGTTTATAAATTTTATTACAATATTTGTCACTGTATCTCTTTATTGCTTATTTTCTTACAATATGTCCATATTTCAGGGTATATTTTCATTATGTACGTATATTACCACTTGTAAAAATATAATAATCCTTATAAAGTAATGTAAGTTTTATTCAAATATCCAAAAGACTGCTTGCAAGAGACTAAGTAAAGCGTATAAATTTTTGCGAAGATATAAATATTGTATATGTATGTTTGTTGTGTTAAAAATCAAATAGGTTATCAGCTTATTATTTGTAATTGTTCTTAAAATGGT